TATATTCCTATAAGCAATGTGAAGCTGAATAAGAAATTGCTGTTATTATAGAGAACATCAAGGAATATATACCAAATGAGACATGACAGACATGAAACAACAAAGAATTTTCTTACTCTGTAGGCCTGTACAGGAATTGGAGAGGCTTCCTACCTGCAATTTCACTTGCAGTCCATTGTAAAGAAAGAAGAATGTACAATCAGAAACTAAAGACTTCAGGGGGGGTGAGAGAAATTGGAAGAATCTGTTCTCAAAAACATTGTATTCAAATTTTGTAAATACAATAGTATTAAAAAAAAACCCCAAAATAACTAACTTCTCTGTAAATATTCATTAAAATCACAAGATTTTATTAAAAAATAATTAGAGGCGAGCTCTGGTGGCCTAGTGGCAAGAAGGTGTAGTGCAATCCCAGAGGTGCATGGTTCAAATCCACCAGGTGCTCTGCTGGAGAAGGAGGAACAGTCTCCTCCTGTACCAGTCAGATCTGATTTGATGGTACACACAACACACACACACACAATAATAAAATAAAAATAAAAAGTTGTTTCCTTAAAAAAAAAACTAATAATAAAATAAATTAGAATTTGAAGACTAGAGGGGCTTTTAATAACAAATTTAAAATTTAAATTCTAAATTATGTGAGACACTATGATTAATTAGAAATTTTAAAAAAAGTTGCAGATTTCTAATTCTGTATTTGCCTGATTTGTGGCATGCATGAATAGTTTCTGTACAGAACTCAATATTCAAGTGGTCGAAAGCAGATGCTGAAACTCCCTGAATTTTCTCCTTTGCAATAGTTACCATTCATTACAACCACTAGTTGTATCCACTGTTAGGTTGCTTCATTTGCTTGTGTTTTCATGGAAGCAATGTTTTCTTTTAACTTAAAGTCTTGTGCCTTTTTTCAACCTAAGAATCAAAAAAATATCCATCACCATTGAGTTAGTTTTGACTTATACTTACCATGTAAGAGAAAGTAGAACTGCCTCATGGTTTTCTTTACAGAAGGTGAGTGCTACCTGTTTCTCCTGCAGAACAGGTGAGTTTGAACTTTGGACCTTTTCTTTAGCTAGAGCACTTTAAGGACTGTACTGTCAGGGCATCTTAAATGATACCCTTCTGGTGATCTAAATTTGGTTTGGTATACATCTGATTACATATGTCATTGTTAGGCAACATTAAGTTGGCTCCAACACATAGGAATATAATGTATAATAGAATGAAACCATGCCTAATCGTGTGCTATTCTCACAAACTCTGCTGTGCTTAAAATCATTATTCTAGTCATCCTGTCAGTCCATTTCATTGAGTGTCCTTCTCCCTGGCCCTTGCTGATAACATAGTTCAAATTTATGAAACAAAGTCTCATCATGCTTGCTTCTAAGGAACATTCTAGCTGCACTACTTTCAAGACATTTGTTGATTCATTTCTTCGCAGTCCATGGCACAGTCATTTATTCTTTGGCAGCACTACAATTTAAAAGGATCATTTCAAGCCTTTAGTCTTTGGAAAGTTTAGAGAAGTGCTAATTATTGGGATTTATTTTGCAATGTTATGGATAAATATCAACTTAGATTTTAGGTTGCAAAATGGTTAGCTAAATATATTTTTAATAGTAATTTAATAAAATGTATATGAACGATTATATAAAACACAATGTCAATGAAAGATTGTATCAAAGACAGTGTACATAAATGAAGCACAGTGTATGTGAACTATTGTATACAGAGCGATTTGGTGGGGAGGAAGATCTGTTGCATTGGGAAATCTGCTGTCAAGGACCTCTCCAAAGTATTGAAGGGGAACAGCATCACTTTAAAGACTAATATGCTTCTGATCCAACTCTTGGTCTTATCAATTACTTTTGTTTCTTTCCTTTTTTTTTTTTTGATGGAGAGTGTTTTTTCTTGATTATTTTTAATTTTCTATTGGTTTGCTTACAAAGTTCACATACATTGTGTTTCACACTGTCCTTTAATCAAATTGTATTTCACATAATCATTCCCATTCTTTATGTTTTATAATGTTAATCACCACGGATCCATGCCCACTATTACTCCATCCTTCCAGATCCTCACCAGATCCTTTTCATTTCCTTTACCCACTCCTTCCACCCACCAAATTATGTGACCCTGTGATTTCCCCCTACTCGTCCTCACCCATCTGATCCCCTGTTCCCCACCTCTTGGCTCCTCATATGCTTTTTACCAATTATAGATACATATAATCTGTTTTTAGCTCTCTTGGTCATTTGGATATTAAGCACAGGCAAAAACTAGTCACTGTGTCTGATGAAAGCTCACTGCTGATTTTCTTTTGTACTTGGTGCACTTCTCTGATTTGATTGCTACAAGAAAGAAAACTGTTCATTAAATGAGATGTGCTTCCCCCTCAGCGTCTGTAATGGTGATGGTTATTATTCCCATTTAGCTGGAGAGAGACTTTCTAGTCACTGTATATTGGATTAGATGTCCTATTTTCCTTTTCAGCTTCAGTGAGATGTGCATCTGTCACATTATTAGATATTGATGTAATAAAAATGACCATAGCTTGGTTTTTAATTTACATAAAAAGTGCATATGAAAAGATATTATTTCTTATATTGTTTTATTTAGCTGATTTCTAGTTCATTTAATTTGTTTCTATTAATTTCTCTTATTATCATATGAAAAAATATCGTGTGTAACATGTAGGGAGTTGTGTTCCCAGGACAAAGCCATGCCATTCTGATGGCTCAAATCTAAAAGTGGCTTCTTGGGAATAAGATGGAAAGTCTTCTGTTCTGTTTACAGTATCGCAAACTCAAGGGCCGTTCAGCAATGAGTGGTTCTGTCTCAAAGTTTATTTCACAAAGAAAAAGAGAAAGGATGAGAAGGTGGGATTTACTAAAAGGAAGTAGAGTCTCTCTTCTGGCAAAAGAGCTGAGTCAGTGGCTTTGGATAAGAGCATTCACAGACTCTTGATGCACAGGTCATAATGGTGTCCAGAACTGTCATCTACTTTGGCTGCTACTTTGACCAGATTTAACAATTAGGTAATTTTCAGATGATGTGATTTGTGGTGTTGAGTCTTCTAATATTTCAGTGTGCCCTTGAGAAGAGGTGGTTGAGGGCTTTGGAAGGGAATGTGCAGACCAGCCTGCGCCCTTAGTTTTCTTCCATTTTCCTTAATACTGCCCAATGATTCTCTGCAGGAACTTTTTCATTGTATCACAGTGACATCCTCCGCAACAGTCTTGATAACTTATGACCTCTTAGGATATTTGATTCACTCTCATCTTCACTCAGTAAGGACAGAATTGACCTGTGGTCCTTTCATTGTCTGAAAGTGGTAGGCGAGTGACAAACTTGACCTATATATCCATCCTTTTCAGGCTCCAGGAATGCTTTATAATTCTCCCTTATGGAAAATTTTCATACTCTGAGAAATACAGTCATTTTGAGCCTGGACTCATTTGATTATTTTCCCCCCATGTTATCTTTATTTTGTATTGTTATCAGAGAAATGAAAATGAACTTCCCCAGCATTCATAGTGTTAAACATGATTAGATTTCTCTTGGAATCTCCTAAGAGATTGTAAATGAGTTGTTAGAGAAAATATAACTTCCTGAGGTTAAAGCCACATAATATTTCATTTATGAAGAATGCTTTGATCACATCTAGAGACTTCATTATTCTTCCATAAATACTTGCCTGTTAAGTCATTGTAGGCATCTAGGCAAACTATTTTCTTTTTATAGGAATTGCTTTTTAATCTTTTAAGGAAGATCTTGAAGTAAATTCACTGTTCTGTTTGTCTTCCTACAATGTTTCCTAATTTTTCCCCTGTTGAAAAATAGCTTGATGGTAACACTTTATTTAGTAAATCATTAAGTATATTACTAAAATACACATTAGAATGTATTTTTATAAGGTCTAGTTCACATGGCCCAGTGGTAAGGTAACAATCTGTACTACAATCCTGAAAGCACGTGGTTTGAATCCTCCGGCGTGGTAAAAGGATGGGCAATATCCCCCTGTGGGATTACTGCCTTTGAAAACCCACTGGAGAGTCAGCTATGGGTTGATTCTGACTTAGTGGTACACGACAATAACAACAGCAACAAGAAATCTTGTGCTGGTTGAATGATTCTTGTTGTCATTGTTAAGTGCTGTTGAGTCCTGTAGGACTCATAGTGACTGTATGACGGCAGATCTGAAACCTGTCATGTCCTGTGCCATCATCATCTCTTGACATACTTGAGCTGAGGAAGACTCTTCAGGAGATAGATAGACCCGGTGAGTGTAATAGTGGGTTTGAGCAGGAGAGAAAGCACAACAATGATGCAGGATAAGTAAGCTTTTGATCTGTTGTTCATAGAGTCGCTATGAATTATAGTGACAAGTAATGACAGTAACAACCATTCTTAAACAGATTAACATTTAAGCCATGATGATTGAACAGGTAATAAGTGTTTTTGCACATTCCAAATTTTCTGGAGAGGCCTCCTATTTAAAAACCCTTTTTGGTTGGCAGCATGGCCCTGGAACCAGATTGAAAGTCATCTACAGAAGCTAGTTCTACAGAAACCTGTTGGTGCTGGAACCAGTTTGAAAAGTCATCTACAGGAACTGGTTCTATGAACAGTGCTCAGTTTTTTCATTCATAGGGTCTTTATGAGTCATCTGTGACT